AATATTCATGATATTTATGTACGAAACACATCCCATAAAGTCTTGAATATAGTTATAACATTAACTATAGCGTTCTGTAAGTTTTCTAAATTTTCGGCTGCAAAATTATTAAACATACATTTATTGTGACTATTATGTTTCATTACGCTATATTATATAGTACGTACATTGTGTAATTGAATTGATTTCCTCCTTTAAAATTTGTAATTCAGGTGGACACACTGTAATTTGAAGAAATAAAAATTTTATACCAATGTTAATTGCGAATAATTTTCATATTTGAAAATATGGAAAGGATGCATATTTTCTCTTGTAAGTACAAACTTACAAATATATTTAGCTAGTATAAATGAATCATTCATTATATTCTTTTCAATATCTTTTATGATTTTGTTCAAGCGATAAGTTATATTACTCATTTCTTCTTGTCGAATCTTTTCTAATAAATTATAGTTTTCATTCCAAAAGTACTTTATCTGATGTCGGTTACAAGCATTATATAGTTCTTTAAGCATCTGAAATCGTAAAAGATTATATGTACATATGTTATGTTTTGTAAGTTTTATATGTTTTATATATACAATACTATATTGTATATTGCTTTTATGTATATGTATAATACTGTAAAAAGAATTAATGTTGAAGGCATTGTATCCAAATCCTCTAACTCTATGCATTTGTGATAAAATAATGTTTCTATGTAATAACTTGCGATACTTTTCCAATTTTGCACATCCCTCAGTTTCTGAAAACAAAAATTTCATGAAACTGTTTAATAATATTGAAATTGAAATACATAAGTACTCAAATTGTCAAGTGACCTTCATTTGACGTATAACAGGTTTTACAGAACCACATTTTCTAAGAATTTCACTTTCTTGATAGAAAAAACTAAGTCTCCAATGATCTCTAGTTCCATTAAAATTTATGTTATTTAAAGGTACTGGAATTGCAAAACATTCTTTGTTTCGACACTAAATGTAAACAGTATTTGTTATAATATAAGTATGTAATTATTAAAATAAAATATAATAAATGTACGAACATCCGCAAGTATACCAAATTTTGTAGTAAATTGCTGAATCATAAATACATTAAAAACAAGTGCAGGAGCTAAATCAATGTGTATGTCCTCTATTTCATGTGGAATATTTAATATTATGGTAAATGCAGGACCACTTTTCTTTACTTTAATTTTTACTTCATAACCATCTTTCATGAGTAATTTATTTTGATCTGGTAATTCCATGACAACTTTAGTTAT